ATTATTATTATTATTATTAATATTATTTTTATTTTTATTTTTATACAACAATAATATTAATAATAATAATACTAATAATAATAATAATAATAATAATAATAATAATAATAATAATAATAATAATAATAATAATAATAATATGAGAAAAATACTAATAAAACGCCCATAACAACAACTTTTTAAATTACTATTATTAAAATTATAATACTAAGACTAATAAATAATAATAATAATATGAATGATAATAATAAAAAATCGAAAATTATTTATTATTTATATGGTATTGTAATAATAATAATATCAGCAAAAATTTGAACAATATATAATGTTAATGCTAAAACTAATAATTAATATTAAAACTAACGGTAATAAAAACAACAATAATAATAACAACAATGACAACAATAATAACAGCAATAATAATAACAATTAGTACAATGTAGTACCAGTAAATTACTTGTGGCCGAGTTGATTTGTGGCCGAGTTGATTTGTGGCCGAGATGACTTGTGGCCGAGTTGACTTGTGGCCGAGTTGACTGTAGCCCATAGAGATATAATAATAATAATAATAATAGCTCTATGCTGTAGCCAAACTTTTTGTGGCCGAGTTGACTTGTGGCCGAGTTAACTTGTGGCCGAGTTGACTGTGGCCGGGTTGACTTGTGGCCGAGTTGGATCGAATTCCTTCCGCATTGGGCAGACAGCGAGATTGGTTGGTAGGAGATACCGTCCACGACTTGAGTACGTCCTACTGAGGGGATATGATTCCTTCCCACAAAGGCAAAACTCGTACTAATATTCTCATTTTACAGGGTAGGCCTATGGAATGGAAGACGATAGAACAATAACGTTCGGTATCCCCACCTGCAAGTGAATCCCAGCCATTGTCATTGCATTTAACCATGGGCGGATTTAGGGGGGGGGGGGCCTGCGACCCGCGTTTAATTTGGTGTTTCAATGTGTTTCATATGTGTTTGATCCAATGACCGGGGTAGTAATGTGAAGCGCTTAGAGGCATTGTAAAGGCATGAAGCGCTATATAAGAACGACATATTATTATTATTATTATTATATCACCAAATTTTTTTTTTTTTTTTTTTTTTTTTTTTTTTGAGATAGCCTAATTGAATGGATACACAATTCCATTGAAAGGTTGATTCATATCGCGCAATGCATAGCTACAAAGACAGTTTAAGCGCAGATGCACCAGCATGGAAACCTTTGTGCAATCAATCACTCTCTAATCTATCGAGGTCAGCAGATATGTGCTGTCAGACAACCCCATGCACAGTGACCACAGTACAGTACACTGATATGTGTGCATGTCTCCATTGACGACACCCCTTTAGTAGACTTACTCTTTTAATAAAGTAAAGTTTTTGTGTAGACAACATTTGACACTTCTGACGTGAAAGTTTTGCTTCCTTATTGTTTTCCAGTACAGTACCTGGTTTAATCATATTGTGTAATTTAAAAGATATACTGTATGAAATTGTATAATCCTGTTGTCTCTAATTGACATGAAACAGTGGCGTAACAGGCGGGGGAGGGGGAGACTTCCCCCTGACGGTTTTTACCCGGCTGAACTAGCCGTCGTATCGGACTGGGTAGTAAGAGAAAAGAAAGAGGGGAGAGGGAGGGAAAGAGAAGGAAGAGGAAGAGAAAAGGAAAGGAAAAAGGAAAAGAAAAAGAGGAGAGAAAAATAAAGACAAGAATAAAAAGGAAGATATCATAATGACCAGACTCACAACACGCTGCAACCTCTTCTCCACTTAACTCCTTTGATCTAAGCTGCCAGATGGCGTAGGCTAACCACCGGGGAACAAGGGGAAAATATCTATCTTTGGAAAATCTTTCGCACCCCCTTTATAAATGCCCTTTTCATCCCCTGAAAGTGCCTAAGAATCTCAAATTTCTTGTCAGAGTAGCCAATTTCCTCTAAAAATTGCACATTTTAGGGATTTTGGATCAATTCCGACGAAATTAGAATTAAAAACACCGGGGGTGCAAGGGGAAAATATCCATCTTTGGAAAATCTTTCCCCACCCCTTTATAAATGCCCTTTTCATCCTCTGAAAGTGCCTAAAATCCTCAAATTTCGCACACGCCCTCCCCCACCCCTCTACTCTTTTGCAAAGAAAAAATTACACCCACAGTGTTCTTTTCCTACCAAAAACACCCTAGGAGAGTGCTATTCATAAATCCACTTGGTGAGAAATAGGAACACTTGTAATTTACTCAGTGTTAATAATTATACAGTAGCAGATTTTGTTGTTTGACGACTTTTTTAACGGTTTTTGGATATTAGTTTTCCTTTTTGCTGATTTTGTGGTTTTTATGCTCAATGTTGCTGAGAAACTTCATCATGTTTTCTGGAAGTGAAATTTCTCTTTTGAAATGGTGTACATTTATGAGCCTTTGTATGTTGTCAAAGATTATGTTGTGAGTAGATGAATTATTACTAATTTAATGACACGTGTCATAGTTGCATTTTGCAGGTATCCTGTATATTAAAATTTTTTTAAAAGACATACACCTATTTTTTTTTTATTATTTGTTACTGAAAACTACCATGCTAGATAGTCAAAATCGACTCAATACAACCTCATATTCCTCAAATGTGCTGGGCTTCAAGGGGGATCCGCCCCCTTGGACCCCCACCGGGGGCTCTGCCCCTGGACCCCGCCGGGGGGCCTGGGCGGCCACCCTGGCCCCCAGCCTAAGGCTGCTCGCTTCGCTCGGAGCTTACACCCCCCCACCTTTTTTTTTCTGGCAGGCTGCATCCACCCATGCCCTCGGTGCTTCGTATTTTGGCTGGTCGTCCATCTTTACTTTGGTGCCCCCCCCCTTATGCTAAATCCTGTATCCGCCCCTGATCATGGCCCGGCCGGGATCATGGCCTTTAAAGGGTAGGCCTATCCAGTCTATTATTTATCAGGGGCGGATCCACAGATGTCCGAATTGTTGGTGGGGGGGGGGAGTGTGACTGAGTAGGGAAAACTAGTACTCTCCGGGAGTCATCAGACACGTGGAACATTGTATTGGCAGTCTGTGTATTGGAATGTCCTCAATATAGGGCCATAATTGATTTTCCCCCGTTTTTAACAAGCCCAATATAAAGACCCGGCATTGACTGCCAGTTTCGACCATCGATGGTGTTTAATTGATGTTCGTAAAAGTAAAATCGATACTGCCATTTAAAAGCCAGAATCGGGAAAAAATCTGTTATCAAAAATTTAGCCTTTTAGGTCTATAACATCAAAATAGTCGATCAAAATAGGCTTCAGTCTTTTAATTTTTTGAAAAACAATGGCCTTGTGCTGCATTCGCCTAATAGGCCTCTAAGATTGTGAAATCTCAAACCACTGTAGTACCGGTATGTGTGCAGTTGCGGGGGTGGCGCTATGGCGCTGAGGGCGGAATCGCTAGGGAACTAAAAATCAATTTGCCGTTCCAAAAGTTGTAATTATCTATCCTCATTAATATGGTCTGAAAGCACTATTTTGGGCCAAACCATAAAATCTTTTTCCATGAACCCAAGGGATTTTATATTCCGCAACCCTGAATGATGCACTGGCAGGCTAGCTCTTGGTTGGGATTCCGCCATCCCTCTGTCCTGTCGGACTTGTTGGCACGCCTGTTCTTCACAAATTTCTGGAAAATTGTTAAATCCGTCTAAGTCATCAATAGTCTTTTAATAACTTAGTCTTTCAAGAAAGCAACGTCGCGAGATTGCTTGACAAAAAAGAACTTTGGTAAAGCGCATCTCGAAACATAGACCTATAGTGGAAAATACTTATGTATAGCGGCGACCACCAACATCAAACGTTTTGTGTATGTTCTACATTATTAGGCCTAAGTAAATAAAATTCGAAACGATTTTTCATACGTCGTGTTCGACTTGAGACAACTATTCTCTGGGTCGCCACAAAATTTGCATTCGGAAAGTGGGTCACCACCTAAAAAAGAAGCAGGGGTCTAGACCATCTCATCCCCATGCATGACCCGGGGTTGAGGTATAAACTTTATTGCACACCAAGATGGCTGGAAATGGTACACTCAGATCGTAAATTTAAATAATTTTCTTTTTTCTTGTTTAATTAATTTTTTTGTTAAAATTTTGAAAAATATTGGGGGGGGGGGGAGTGGACAGGATGCCCTACCCCTTCAGTCTACCGCTGGATTAGTCATTGATAGTCGTGTGAATCTATTTTGAAGTACAGAAGGTTAAGGGCGAATTCGGATATGGTGTGTCAGACTAATTATGGGTTTAATGAACTGGATATGTTCCAATTTGTTTTGGTTCAATCAATGAAACGATGACTGAAAGGGCACGATTATGAATTGTTCGTTAGACCTCGATTGTCTTCCTCAAGAAGAGGCA